CTTAGGTAAGAGCACTGTGGCCACTGTGTAAATACATCTGGCTGCCGTGGGGAGCGCTGGGGATAGGAGCCGCGCTCGCCTGGCACTGCCAAAGGATTTCTCTTTCAGGATCTTTGTTTAATGGAGTGGCTGGGGACCCATTTAATTTGAAGCTGGGGTTCTTCGCTTGCCTGTGGTGCACTTGGAGCGAGGCCAGGAGAAGCTGCTGCTTATTTTCCTCCTCCGGTTCGGTGGCCGCTCTGTGATCCTCCCTCGTGCTGAACGGTAATTCGCTCTTGTAATAAACTGCAGCTGGAAGTCACCTGGGGAGCGCAGGGCTGACGCTCGGGAGATAAAACTCCGGGCTTTGCCACGGGGACCTCTCGACTAGCCTTGGGCGAAGCGTTTAATCTGCTTGTATCTAAGGTCACTAGCCATTAAATTCTTTTTTTGCTGGGGATAAAGTCCATTAATAAATATGAGATGCTCAGATACACAAGTGATGTGGGGCCGTGTAAACCTCAGTCCATCAAGGCTCAAGTGAGACGCTATTGAAAGCTTTTTCTAAGGGAAATAGTGGCGTAGACTGCTTGGAGAGGTAGTGGACTCTCTCTTTGGAGGTCTTTAAGATGAGTTAGACTGACATTCCTTGGGAATTATAGCTACACAACGGTTTCCAGCCTTGAATTTTATGATTTACAGTTATCCAAAGCCATTGACATGTTTATACAGGTTTGGAAGAAACTGCGATTTCTCAAAACTCGAATAAGCCATTTATGATACTTAAAAAGTGATGATTTTTCCCTTCCCTTTGTATCATGCTTCAAAGCAAGCAGGAAAATACGGGGTCTGTTCTATTCTGTGCACCAAGATGGTGCCGCCCTCCTGAATTCTGCTCTCCGTGACTGTGCGTGAATGAAGTCCTCTTCCCTGCACCTTTTCCATTGAAGCAAGCTAATTTATAAGCTATTTTGCAGCAGTGTGCTTGGAGCTCAATAGCTGCCAGCTGTAGTTTCTAAGATAGCAGGTGTAAAGTATCAGCACAGCCAAAGAAGAAGGTGTCTGATTCCCACCACGTAGGTATTGGGGATTGAGGAGGAATTTCGCTGGGGGTGGGTGGCTAATTGCCCCCAGCTGCGATGAGCCCCATGGGATGTTTGGGGTGTTTGGGGAGCCGGGGGCTCCCGTGGGGCGGCTGCGGCTCCGTCCGTGCTCGGAGGCGGCTCCTCGGGTCTGTTCCGCAGGTCGGGTTCGCAGACGAGGCTGCCCGCGCGGCCAGCGGCGCCGCTGCCCCGTGTGGTTGCACCGGCTCTGCCCCGCTGCCTTTGGGCTTCTCCTTGCCCCGGACCCGCTGGTGTGTGGGAGCGATGCAGGGGAAGAGGCAGCTTATCCGGTACATGTTGTATAAACAACATCCCCAGTCTGGACAGCGTGAGCAAATTCTGCGCATAATTCATGCCGTCGTGTTTGTTATCAGGGAAATGCCTTTCAGGTCTGCGTTTCGCTCTTCCCCTCCTCTTCCTCCTCCCCGGCCCGGAGGAAGCAATAGCCACAATGCTGTATTTTGCCCTCTTTGCTCTTTTTCAGA